TCCCATTTCACAGATTGCATGGAGAGATCAACCAAATCATCCAAGGTCAAAGAGTGAGTCAGTGATCTGGTTAGAGCCCTGATCTCCTGGCTCCTGGTCCCCTGCTCTTGCCATTAGCACACATTTGAATGTGGATACTCTCCTCCTGAATTCAAAGGAGTCAAGTGTTGCTATGTAGGCCATTCAGGAGCACTGTCCATCCCCTTCAGATTTTGTATCTCCTCCTCACTTAAGGAGCTACCACAAGAGAGGTGTTGATCAAAGCTCAAGTCCATTTAGGACCTCTATAGTGTGTAATTGGTATGTTAACAGAACCTAACTTCCACCAGCACTTACTATACTGCGAATCTTGAAGGATGCTCAAGACATATCTCTCTCATGTAGGGGAGTGTCACAGTTCAGAGCAACTGCACCTATGCTTCCCCTCTATGGTCTATCAAAAGTCACCCATTCTCAGGCTTCCAGCTCCCAGCCATCATCTCTCTTGGATGGAGATGTGTCTCTCTCATACTGATGCTTCTGGTCTGCTCTCTCTTGCTCCAGGACTGCAAGCTGCTGTGGATTTCTACATGCACTGACTCTCTCCAGCTGCAACTTCTCTTGCTCTAGCTGCAGATCTGACTACAACTCCTGTTGCAGTGGTGCATTCAGTCTAGACTGAACGTGGTTGCTACCTCTGTCAGCCTCTTCCCTGTTACTCTTCAGGAAGTTGGTTCTAAGATTTTTCTCGCCTGCTGGCCTCTGCCAATGGACTGGAAGTTCCCTGCAAACTTGGACCATTATTCCTCTTCTGATCATTAGAACATATCAAATCTACTAGCTGTATCTTGGTCCAGTCCTCGGTGCCGAGCTTCCTTTTGTTGCATATCTCAATTAGCTTCTCCTCTGCTACCCATGGCGTCTGGACAGAGATGCACATCGGTATATTGGATTTGCAGGCTTCCCGCCTTGCCTGTTAGGCATTCCTGCCGCTCATCATATCCTGCCACATTCAACTGCTGTCTGATAACAGGACGGTGGTTGTATATATATCAACAAGCAGGGGTGCCCGGTCCCCCTCCCTCTGCGTGAAGGCCACCCTCCTCTGGAACTGGTGCCACAGGCATGGAGTCACCCTCCATGGTGTGCACCTCCTGGGCACTAGCAACTATCTGGCAGACATGCTCAGCAGGGCCTTCTACGCAAATCATGAATGAGAGTTCCATGACCCCACTCTCCTCTCAGTCTTTCACCAGTGGAGCACGTCAAGCTGGGGCCTTGAACCACAAACTTTCCCTCTTCTGCTCCAGAAAAGCCCAAGGGACAGGCTCACAAGGCAACGGCCGTCTCCTTCCCTGGACCACCGAACTCCGCTATGCCTTCCCGCCCATTCCCTGCTCCTGCAAGTCCTGTGCAAGGTGCGGCGGGCTCGTGCAACAGTTATTCTCATAGCCCCCTCTTGATCTTGCCAGTATTCGTTCACCGATCTCCTCCACCTCTGCTTGCCCCTCAATCCACATTCCCACCTTCCTGAATCTTCTCGCACAGGCACACGGCCACCTGCAGTGTCCCAGCCTGGGGCTGCTCCACCTCACGACCTGGTATTTGGGTGGAGCTTGCGTGTAGACAGGGTGTGCTCTGCCCCCATGTGCATTATCCTCGCTTACAGCAGAAAACCATCTACTAGACCCTGCTACCAAGCTAGTGCTGCTTCACTGCCTGGGGGTGCTGCTATTGCTACTCCCTGGATTCCATCTCCATTCCCATCTGCCTGGACTACCTTCTCCACCTTTTACAGTCCGATCTCTCCCCACTCATCCTATTTGGATTCCAATACTCCCCCTCCATCCCCTCTTCTGTTGATTCCACTGCTTGCTGGTAAGAAGGACCTGAAGTGGCATTGACCCACCCAACCTCTTAAAACCTCAGGCACACCACGTGGCTGATGCATGATGCATATGCGGGTCAACTGACACTTCTATGAACAGTTCCAGCTCCGGCACATGGCACACATGTGTACCCACGTCTGGAATCCAAATCGGAACCACACATCTCAAAGAACCTCCAGTTAAAGTAAGTAACCTCCTCTGCCACAATGCGCATTTTTACAAGGTGCACTAGTTCTTAAGAATTGAACCAATTTTTTTTTCTAATCAGCCTAGTGGTAAAAGGGAGTTGGAGGTGATTACAAATGAGTTTGAAGTTTCCCCTCAGAGGGATGATGAATCTTGCATGACGTTAATAGGTACCTTACAATCAAGGAATGGCATTATGGCATGGAGGTGCAAAGGGAGGAGGGAGTGATTGAGATAGGGTTTGGAACAAAGTCACAGGAAAGTGAAGAACAGTAGGAGTTAGAGGAGTCACAAGTTCATTGGTAAATCCTCAATGGGAGTGCAGCTGAAGAGAGGAAAGAAGCTGGCTATTCCCCCCGCCCAGAAGAGAAGAGCTATAGAGAAACATAGTTAGGGGGCTCTTGCAGCAGAGAGATGCTCAGTGGAAAATGGGAGATTAGACAGATTAGCAAAGGAGCTATTTTAAACTGTATATTATAATGAAGTAACTAGCATACCCTTTCCACCAAAGTATGCATAAATTAAAGCTATAATTCCATCTGGAGTTTCTGGTGACAAGAATACATAACTCATGCTTCGCTGTTATAGTTACTGATTAACTCCCTCTCATGGAATTGTAATCACATGGTCTTCAGCTGGAGGTACCCTATTTGTAATAGAATATATTGTAATATAATTAATATTAACTTTTAATGAGAAGTAGTTAGTGTTTAATATCAATACCAATTGCCTTCTTCAAACAAAAAACTGCACAGTTTAATTGTAAGGAATATATGTGGCATTATGCAGAAGAGTGAAATGTGAAGAAATTCTAGCAAATGTATTCCTAAACTCATCTTCAGTATTTTCTTTTTATATTATTGTATCACTTTCTATTCTGGGATGATTGTTGACCTGGAATACTGAAAGAAGACTTGGATGAGTTGAATTCTGCAGTTACTGTTCCATTTCTAATGTTAATGCACATAATTTACAGAATGGACACAACTTCTCAGAGTGCGTTTCAGAACTGTGAGTTAGACATAGCAATAGTGCATCCAAGTCAATTCAGTAGATATTTTGCATCTAGCAATGTTTCACTCCCAGAGATATGGACAACAATGGCATAATAAGTGCCTATTGGTTTGTGCTGGGGTTTTCAAGAGGTCTAAATTCAAGGGATCTTATGTTGACTTTCAGTTGGATTTGTGTGCCTAATTCTCTTAGGATCCTTTGAAAATCTCAGGTTTACTATAATAACTGAGACTATTGACTAACATTTCTGAACACAGATAGCCAACGTTAGGCACATGCATTTATACTCCAGACACCTAGGTAAGTGTCATGGCTTTCAAAGGTGCTGAGTGCCTGTAGCTCTCATTGACTACAGATGAAGTTGTGGATGCTCTGAAAGCGGGTCTTAGATATCAGAGTTTGGGTACCAAAAAATGGAGGCACCCAAACTAGGGGCTGTGGGGCTGGAATAAATGGGTGCAGAGAGTTGAATATGTTCACATGACCCTGTCACTGTACAACACTAAACAGTTAAACATGGTCCAGGGTTTTGAGCAGAGAGCCTTCAACCTGCTTATTCCCAGGGCAAACACACCCTTCATAAACTTTTAAACATTTTATTGAAGATACGGGGGGGGGGGGGGGAGGGAAAAACAGTTAAAGCATTTGAAATGTAAAATATTGAATAAAAGCTTTCATTTTACAATATCTCTTATTCCCTTTCCCTTGAACTATAGAGAGTTTTTATAAGGAACACTCCAACCCCATCAGACAATCTTTTAGATGGTAATAACTGTCCTTCCAGGGAAAAGAGAAGAAGTTTAGTTGAGATGGTCTGGAAATGTTGTTGTTGTTAAAGTCAGATCCCATTTCCTAGAAGACAAAACGAGACAAACATACGTAAAAGGGAAAGAAAATACTGCTTCTGTCTTTGGTGCTGACTTTCACTTGCAATCTCACTGCTAGAGAAACACAGGCCCACCACATGGTCTTATCAGCCATTCTGAGACCTGGAAAACTTGTACCAGCATAGGGCTGTTGAAGACATAGCTTCAGCTGCTTTTCTGGTCACAAGCTTACAGCAGTGTTGCAAAAGAGACAGCCTTGGAAAGTTAAGCTAGACTCTTATTAAGCAGAGGACAAAAAAAAAAGAGAGAGAGAGAGAGAGAAGAAATAAGGTGAGGAAGGAAAAAAACACGAGGGAGAGGGTGACAGCAGCAACTCATCTCATATCCAGGTGGTGTTTGGGGTTTAGCTGGAGTTGATGACATCATCTGAGTCCTCACTCCCTGGCCTATCTGGTCAGGAAGCCTTTCAGGATCAGGATGATGAAAGTCCAATAGTGTCATGGTGCATCCTGGGGTCCCAGAAGGTGGTGGTGGCAGCTATGATGGTGAAACTCACTCCTCTTGGTTCATCTGTCTGCATCCTTTTGATTCTCCTGCCTGCCCCCAGTCTCTTTTTAAGGACCCCAGAAGTGTGTTATGAGTGGAGTAGCCCATCCTATATTATTTTGTCCACAAATTAGACTTAATTTCTGATGCACCAATTTTGGTTCATTAATTGCCGGTTCTATTCTCCTTGTTTACCATTCATGATCTCAAGAGAGTCCTTGGGCAATATCAGTAGATCTTTTTGTTTGGACTAATTCAGTTGGTCGTCTTTTTGTACCTTTCTCTACCAGAATTTATTGGTACAGGTTACTTTAACATTGTATTAACGTTCACCTGCCTTCCAACAACTGAGCTCACGGTTGGAGTAGGCTTGCTGGATCTTAATGATTACAACAGGCTATTCCTGAAAGTTTGAGCCAATATTATTAGCTCCATCATACTTTTTTTCTGTCTCAAAAATGAATAAATGCTTGACCTTTTAAAGGGGCCTAAGCTAAACTAGATTTTTTTTTCTCTCTCTCCGTTCCCCCATCCCGTGATAAGTTGTTTACTGTTACAGGGTGTACCTGGCCTTTGCAGCTCCCTATAGGAGACTCCCGGTCCTACTACGTCCTGCGTCAAGTGAAGTGACAAGAAAGGAGCAGTGAAGGTGGATTCTCCAGGCCTGCCTAGAGAGACCTCAGGTAAGCAGCCATTCAGAGCTTACCCAAGGGATAAGGAAGGGTGCTCCTCTCTGGCCAAAGGAGCACGAGGGATAACCAGAGCTCAGGGGTGCTGAAACAGTTTTGATAGTGGGGGTGCTGAGAGCCATTAAACCAAAATTTAAACCCTGTGTATAATGGAAACCACTTCAAGCCAGGGGTTGTGGCAGCCCCGCCAGCACCCTGAGTTCCAGCACCTATGCCAGAGCTTGTTTCTGGCTACATTTACTTCAGATGGGTGTGAAGGGAGAGAAAGAATCTAAGAACCTTGGCCCTAGGTAAGACTGAAGCTAAAAGGGGCCAGGTGGGCAGAGGCCCAGGGAAGAAGCAGCAATGAACTGAAATCAAGCAATGGTGTAGCTGCTGTTTATAGGATCCCTGGGTTGGAACCCAGAGTAGTTCCCGTACCAGCCACAGTGGCATAAATCCCAAGAAGGAGACAGAATTTATTTGAGAGCATGAACCAAGGTTTGAAGACCCTATTGAGGGCAATGGGATTGTTAATTTATTGGAATCTTTACTACCCCAGTAGGGTAGTGACTTTGCAGGAGGGCTAAGCCACAGAAGACCCACCGGGTTTAGCTAACAACCTGCAAGGGATACTGGGGTGAGAAAAGAACTGCAGTACAACCCCCATCTGATAGGAGGTACTCAAGAAGTGAGTGCCCCCCTCATAGTTACCACACTAGATGTGTAAAGTCTTTAAGGGCAGAAGGTGTGAGGCAGGTTATTCAGAATCTCAGTGGGGCCGGAATCAAGGAAGGAAAATCTTTTTGCTACTTGACAAAAATAATGTCATGGTTTCCTTCATCTCTCTGGCAAAAAAAGAGCAAATCAAGAATGTCTTAAGTGTTCTGCAGTTCTTTGTAATTTAGTGCTTGCTGTTCACGCATGGAGAATCCTCTCACCACAGTGACTTTACTAGCACCCAATAGAGTTAATAAATAGCTTGTAAACACCTTCTTCAAAGCAGGGGTTTTGTCATGGTTGGATGGAATTCCACTTTACTGAGGTATCTGGAGATGGGCTAATTAGATGTCTGCCTTTTGGTAGCATGATATTAAGTCTTAAATTCTAGAACACCAGAAGTTTATGAAATTCAAGGCAACAGTCAATTAGACAAAGCAAAAACAGGTCAAGTTTGTTAGACTACATGAGTCAGGCAGTTGATTATACTGACAAAACACAGGACTGGATACTGTAACAGAGGGTTTGCTTTGTTAATTGATTAACTGCTGCCTCCCGCTCTATTGACCTTCACTAATTTGTTGTACTGTCTGTCATTCCTTATCTTCAGCTGAATGGGGAGGCTCATGCGTAAACATCAACAGCATTAAGGTCAGAGGGGACTTGATATGTCCTCTGTGGCTTGCTCATTTTAATCCTGTGCAGAGTCAGGCTGCAAGCTCTCTGGCTGCTTTATTCCACAAATCTGTCTGATAAGCTGCAGTCTTTGTCACAGTCTCTATTTTAAGCATAGTAAAATGCCATTGAAAATTATTTTGGTTCGTATGGTCTGGATCATATTCTTATCTCAAAAGCCTGTGTCACAGAGAAACAGAGAGGCTAGCTGGTGTGTCTTCTTTGCCAGATATTCAGTTTGGTCTTTCGTGTCACACACAAAGCTAGTCAGAGCTTCAGAGCAGATTTACTTTTTGGTTTTGCTCTCTGTGAACTTATACAGTGTAGTAAAGGATTTATCTTATTTTTCTGATGAGTGCAACCTACAGTCAGTATGGAGGCTCAGACTGGGAGAAAACCTTCCACATTTTTGCTTGTAAAGCATATGTCATAAATATAAAGGGAAGGGTAAACCCCTTTGAAATCCCTCCTGGCCAGGGGAAAGCTCCTCTCACCTGTAAGGGTTAAGAAGCTAAAGGTAACCTAGCTGGCACCTGACCAAAATGACCAATGAGGAGACAAGATACTTTCAAAAGCTGGGAGGAGGGAGAGAAACAAAAGGTCTGTGTGTCTGTCTATATTCTGTCTTGGCTGGGGATAGACCAGGAATGGAGTCTTAGAACTTTTAGTAAGTAATCTAGCTAGGTACGTGTTAGATTATGATTTCTTTAAATGGCTGAGAAAAGAACTGTGCTGAATAGAATAACTATTTCTGTCTGTGTATCTTTTTTGTAACTTAAGGTTTTGCCGAGAGGGGTTCTCTATGTTTTGAATCTAATTACCCTGTAAGGTATCTACCATCCTGATTTTACAGGGGGGATTTCTTTATTTCTATTTACTTCTATTTTTATTAAAAGTCTTCTTGTAAGAAAACTGAATGCTTTTTCATTGTTCTCAGATCCAAGGGTTTGGGTCTGTGGTCACCTATGCAAATTGGTGAGGCTTTTTATCCAACATTTCCCAGGAAAGGGTGGGTGCAAGTGTTGGGAGGATTGTTCATTGTTCTTAAGATCCAAGGGTCTGGGTCTGTAGTCACCTAGGCAAATTGGTGAGGCTTTTTACCAAACCTTGTCCAGGAAGTGGGGTGCAAGGTTTTGGGAAGTATTTTGGGGGGAAAGACGTGTCCAAACAGCTCTTCCCCAGTAACCAGTATTAGATTGGTGGTGGTAGCGGCCAATCCAAGGACAAAGGGTGGAATATTTAGTACCTTGGGGAAGTTTTGACCTAAGCTGGTAAAGATAAGCTTAGGAGGTTTTTCATGCAGGTCCCCACATCTGTACCCTAGAGTTCAGAGTGGGGGAGGAACCTTGACAGCATATAAAAGAACACTCTGTACACAATTTGTTTTTTCCCAGTGCTTTGATGCTGCTACCATAAGGTGGAAGAGTATTCCAGGCGTCAACATGAACATGAGCAAACCAAGCATCCTGCATTTTGAGAACTCAGTTGTGGCCAGAGCTAGCTGTTGTTTTGGAAGTGAAATTAGATATACGTACTCTGTCAAAAAGTTCATAGGATCATAGAAATTACTGATAGAAGAATCTACTGGTGTTGATTAATCTCTGTCACTGGAGGATTGTTTCTAACAGTGAAGTTACTACTTTGTCCACTTTGAAATGACTGAAGTGATTGAAGTTTTCACAGCTTCACTTGAGAATCTTCCCACAGTCTAATAGATTTGACCACTGAATACTTGTCCTAATATTCAGTTTAAATTTCCTGGGCTTAATTTCATAACATGACTCCTAGAGTGACCTCATGGACTACAACAAACAATTCTTCTCTTTCCTTGGTGTTTCTGTCCTTCCAGTATTTGTACCCAGTTATCTTACTTGCCCTGAATTTACATTTGGCTAAGTTTTTTATACATATATAGTTCTTCCAAGTGTTCTTCATAAATCAGTTCCTCTAGCCCTTTATTGCTGCTGTTGCCTTTCTCTCATCTCTCTCCAATTTGTCTGAAATTTTCTCAAAGATGCCCAGACAAGTACCCAGGAGTGTAGGTACTGTCACTTTAATACCAAATAGTGAATGACTATGGCCTCTCTGCTCCATCATGTGATCCTTCTTCTCATGCAGGCTCCAAAACACACTTTCTCGCTTTGCTGCCATACCATATCCTAGTTTGTTCATAGGCGACAAGTTATATGGGCCCGTGGTGCCCATGCTCCACCAATACTTAGGAACGTGGGCCTGGCTCCACCAATGTTTGGGCTTACTGCACTTTGGGGGGCCCCGCACTTCAGGGGGATGTGGTGTCCTAGGAGGTTAGCGAGTGACCTGGCCCCAGCCTGCCCCAACCCGTCGGCTCCTGGTGTCCCTCGGGGAGGGGGCCGAAGCCGGAAAGAGGTATCACTGGGGGAAGGGGTGGAATGGGGGAGGGGACAGAAGAGGGACGGTCTGGGGATGGGTCGCTTGCTGCTGCCGATGCCAGGCCGCCTGCTAAACTTCCAGGCCACCCTGGACCCTGCGTCCCCTTGAAGCACAGGGCCCCCCAAAGCATGGGGCCCAGGGTGGTTGCTCTAGTATGTCCTATGGACGGGACGGCTCTGCCTGGACCCGTTCTGGGCACCACCAAAATTATACAAACCTGGCACCCATAAATTTGTGGGCCAGTTTTCACCATCAAGTCTTAATACTTGTCATTGAATATTGTATTTCAGATTATTTCCAATCCAGTCTAGCCTGCTGTTCTCAAGTATGAATCTAATTTTTGCTTTTCCTGCCAATATTTCTAACCACTTTCAATCCCCTTCTATCATTTCTCTGTCCTCCCTAGCGTTTACAACACCTACAGGTATAGTATCAGTGAATGTAATTAACACACCATTTACCCCCTATTCTAGGTCATTAAGGAGGATAGAAATATTTGTGTGTACTTTGCATAGTCTAATAAGAGGAAAAAATACAAAAATGCAGGGAGAAAATTGTTACTGATCTGATTTTTAAGCACTTAGCATAGAGAACTCTACTTTTCTTTGTTTATTCTTCCAGTCTTTAATGTATAAAAAGATGGTGTGTGGAATTAATGAACAACCAGCGGAGTTTACTTTGACAATTAGAAGCCAATGAAATCCTTTTCTATTGACAATTACCCACCACCACTTCCCTTCAGCCTCACTGTGTAACAAAGATCTTAAGATACCAATGACTTTAACTCATACTGAATGCTGGAAATTACTAAAATGAATTCTGTGCATCCTGATGACTAACTAGAAGAAACAGCATGGTGAATTTTCAAGTGCAGTACTTCGGCTCTTGCAAAGCAACTTCATTTCTGAAGCCAGTCAAGCTGAGACAAGAAAGTTATTGCCTCCAGTCTTAGAACTTTGATCTTGCTTTGACTGATGTTGTATAGTTATGAAGTCTTCAAGGTCATAGGACATAAATTCTGAACGGTCTTACCTAAAGATCTGGATGATGAGCCAGTAAAATAAGCTGTGTATATATTGAATCCTGCAACTCTGTTACACTGTATTTTCCTTAATTCATGCCACCTATATATCCCTTACAGTGATTTCTGGAGGAGAACAATACTATTTATGGGTAATGTCAGGGTCTAATGCTAATATTTCCATTGTTATATGACAAAGCACCACTACTGCCTAGTAGGGTAGTGTAGATGAAACACAAGAAGCTAATGGAATGAGAAACTGATTTTAAGGTTAACCAGGCCAGGGAATCTTTAGCTCCGGCTGACGTCAGAATGATGACAATACATCTTCTTGGAAGGTTGCGGTAAAATATTGCACTCCCAGGTAGAATTTGTACATTATAAGAGAGTTTAGAGAAACTGAGCCTTCAACAGTTTGCTGTGGAGTAAGTAGACTGGTGTGAGATCAGCCATGCCAGGCTTTATTCTCTTATTTTTGTGCACCGTGTGTAGTTGGAAGGGGGAAAAAATCTTGTGAATTTTGCATGCTAGCGATGATCTGCATCAGGGGCGGATTTACCATGAAACACACAGTGCCCTGGCACAGTGCCTCCCAACAACCAGGGGCCCCAGGGCTGGGCACTCGGGCAGCTCAACACCGGCACACCCCCTGTGGAGGGGGGAGCTGCTCCATGGGAGGAGGGCTGCAGAGGTAGAAGCTGTGGGGAGCAGGAGAGCAGGGAGGGTGGCTCACCTGCAGCCTCAGGGGAGCAGGCGAGAGGTGCAGGTGACGGGAGCGCTGTGAACACAGGCTGGAGGACTCAGGAGGATCACAGGTCAGCCGCCCAGCTGGCCGGAAAGAAGCGCTGCTTCTCTCTGGCTGTGTGGCTGCCCCTGCTCCTCCTGAGTCCTCCAGCCTGTGCTCGCAGGCCAGATTCAAAAGGGGGTGGGGCTTTAGGGGCTGAAGCCCAGGTCTCCAGAGTCCACTTAGCCCTGAGCCCTGGGCTGCAGCCCCTAAAGCCCTTGCATTCCGGCCCTGCCTGGCGGGAGGGGAGGAGGCTCCGAGAATGGCAGCCAATGGGAGCTGCCGGGGGGCGGTGTCTGCAGGGCAAGCACAGGGACTGATAGAGCCACCTGAACTCCCTGCACCCTGCGCACCAAACGGGGGCTGCCCTAGGTAAGTGCTCTGCACCCCAACCCTGAGCCCCCTCCCGCACCCTAACTCCTGGCCAGCCCCTCCACCCCCCACCCACTCCCGACCCTGCGCCCCACCCTGAACCCCCTCCCACACCATAACTCCCATCCAGACCCTCCACCCCCAGCCCACTCCCGCACTCTAACTTCCTCCCAGACCCTGCAGCCTCAGCCCTGAGCCCCAGGAGGAGAATGCAGAAAAAAAATGGAAAAACGGGGAGTGGGGGGAAGATAAGAGAGAATGCTCCCCCCATGCGGGGGAGGGGGGGATGAAGCTGAGCACAGGGCCCCACTAACTCTAAATCTGCCACTGATCTGCATATAAATAACATGCATGTTTCTTGGATTTCATTTTCATAAAACTGCTGAAAGGCTTTTCCCCTGCTTCAGTGACATACCTCAGTGGAGTGCAGGCAAAGAGCAGTAGAAAATGAAAGCAAGGTCAGCCCTAAAAATGAAAAAGGATTCTCAGTTTCAATAGATTCTTTATGTTCAATCAAAAGGAAAGCCTTAACAGCTTTCTTCCATCCAACAATGCCTCATCTCAGTGCTATGTGAATGGCTGCAGTATGCGGGGCGGGGTGGGGTGGGGTGGGGGGGGAGGAGGGTTAATTAAAATTTGCCAAACCCTCAAGATTCAATCCAAGGCTGGTGACTTAAACTGGGGGGAGTTTTAAATGAAAATTAATTATCATACCACCCTAAACTTCACGAATATGTAAGAGATTTAGGGAGGTGTAACACTGGGAAGTGTTGTACATTACTAATGTATTTATATGAAACATTTAATCAGGAATGATTCCAAACCAGTTTGCAAATTGCTGTACTTTGTGTGTGTGTGTGTGTGTGTGTGTGTGTGTGTATGTATGTATGTATTATGTATGTAGGCCTATGATTTCAAAAATGCCTAATGATATGTAGTCCCCAACTTGAAATATTTTAAGAGTGGTTTTCAGAGGGTGGGTGCTTATCACTTTCTGAAAATCAGGTCCCATGGAAAGCTGGAACCAAAAGTGGAAGCACCCACAATTGCTAGTCCATGCTAGGAGTGCATGTGTGTAATTTTCTCTCTAAAATTGTGCATCTGTGTATACATTGCCTTGCTTCAGATAACTAGTCTGCATGCTGAATAGTTTCCTAAGTAAGAACAGACCAGTTGTCTGAATAAAACAGGTGACGCTGTCTGATCTAATCAACATCTGCAGTTGGAGTGGCACATATTTATAACAGCTGGTAGGAAAGGAAGGGGAGTAGAAACAGGGTCGACTACTAAGGACAACTCTCTTATGGAAGCCAGCCAGCCACACTGGACGGAGCTGTTTAGCAGCAGCCAAGGGGAGACAGAGAGTAAAGCTTGTGGGCAGTGAGGGCCTTGCAGAGAGATTGCGTTCAAGGGTGGGGAGGAAAGAGTCTTGGGGAAGGCAATCTGGTGTGAAAGAAAGAATTTGACAGAATGGCAGACTGTATAGAAGACCAAATAGCAAACCTTGGTCCTCCTAGGAGGATTAATTGTTAAAATTATTTGACCCCTGTACATACACTGCATTTGTGAATGTTTATGCTCTGTTGATGCCCAAAGTGATCAGTGCAGTGAGAATCTACATTGTGCCAAAGCAAAGAACTTGGAAAAGAGAGCCATGGTAAATTCAAGGGTCACCAGTTCAGAGAATTATAGGTATAAGGAAACAGGCTAGAATTTTCCAAGAACCTAGTCCCATTAGCTAAGGAGGATGAAGTGTTTCTGCTTGGTAAATGCAGGGGTAAGCTGCATGCACAGTGCTTGTAGAAAGTGGAGGGATTTTTGTGTCGTGCCAGATACACAAAACACAGATAGGCAACGGTAATTTCCAACAGTTTGTCTGTAATCAGGTTGCAACTTTATTATTAGTTGTCAGGGACTACTCAGAAGATAAAAGTATGCAGTGCAGGTAAACCCCATGTTCATTCAGTAACTTCCCTGGGGGCTTCCACCAGTCCCTCCCACTTTTTCCACCCAGATCCCCAGCTGGGAGCTTACCATCCTCCCTCCCCTTTTTAGGAGGGTTAAGGTGGACTATAAGAAAGGGGGGTTGATGCCCTACTGTACCAATCATAGGAGCCCCAATCATCTCCTTTAACTAACTCCTTCTTTTTAAGTCCTTTTCCAAGCCATTTATCCGGTCACTGTATACCTTTCCTCTGGAGTACCTGTACTGGACATCTGCCACAAGGAGGCACCAGCCATTAGCTTGGCTGCCTCCTCCCCAAACCCAGCTGGGTTCCCGGACATCTTCCAATGCCCTCTCTTATATCAGCCAAAAACAAGTCTGAGACATGAACCCTATCCTCCTGAAATAACTCTGGTGCCCCATATACTATGCCAAGATGTGAAATTACTGCCCTTCCTATGGTCCCAAGAAATTTGGCCACCTCCATGTTCACATATCTCCTTGCCTTGTCCACCCTGGGGGGCCTCATGGCTCCCCATCAGACCCTGCAGTGAAATATCTCTGACAGTACAATTTTAACTCGTGGAAAAAGTTCAAGGGTCAGCCTCAAGTCCCTCCTTGTTCTGAAATTATTTCCACCCCTTTACACGTTCCTAAATCATTTTTCCCCAAGGTGTACTGCAGTTATATCTGGTGGATGCTGATGGGTCCCCATAGCATTCAGCAGTGGTATCAGCTGATCCCATAACATGCTCCTCTTTCCATGCCAACTCAGTATTGCTTCACTGCCGAACCCCAGTTGTGAACCCTCAGACAACTTGGACGCACTCCTATGCGTTCAAAAAACAACACTGTGCCTGCAGATCCACACCACTGACTGCACAGCTGGTCATTCAATATCTGGAATGAGGTTACAACAAATTAATGTGACTTATAATGTTATACCAATAAAATAAAAACCAGCAGGATCTTATTAAAGGGAAAAAGGCAAAATACCACATTTATTGTGAATACAGAAATAATCATAGTAAGCAGTTAGTTATAGCTATAACATTCCATTCAATCTCATATTTACACAGAGAGAGAGAGAGAAAGAGAGAGGTTCTGCAAGGTTGTTATCATAGTTACCAGCCTTAGAGTTGCTTATGCCAAGCCACTGGCCAGGTGGCCTGGACATGAGGAGGGAGCAAAGCCTTGTCAGATACTCATCTGATGCTCCTGGAAGTTGGTTTGCAGAATCAGACCCAAAAGTTCTCACTTTCTAGAGTCCATTTTTATAGGAATTTCTTCCTATGCCAGTCTATGGGAATTGTTTCATCATGCTGTTGCTGAATCAATCAGCAGATAGCACATTCCTGACGGCTCCATGCTGCTAGCTGTTATCTTGTTCTTTGGTTCTCCCATTCTTGAGGCTGTTGGGTGGATTCCAGTCTGCTCTCCGGGGGTCCTCTGGTTATTTCCACTTGACGCCTTCTTCAGCCGATGGACACTGGATTCTTAGGCAGGCACCTCCCTGATCATTCAGTTATTATCCACACCAAGCATCCATCCACATACATCCTCTATCTCTATTTTAATCACAATTGTTAATACAACAAAAGGGCGGGGAGTCTCTGGATGCTGTTTCTGTTGTTACAGAGTATTGCTTTGAGTCTCTCTCTGTGTGAATTGCTTTGAGAACAGACTTGCCTTAGAATGTACTAACGCAATTAGCAGCTTGCAAGTTTCACACATAGAGGGAGAGAAACAGTACCAAAAACCAAGAGACCTCTTAATTAGTAATACCCTGGAATTTAAACCATGGGCAATCAAACTCATTTGTGATTTTAATACAGAACTTCTGTAATATGATCCAACAACTGGAGTGAGCCCAATGAGGCTTACATCTTGCCAACTTCTCTGAGGAAGCTCATCGTAGGAAGGTGATATCGAAGGGGGGGGGTTCAGCTGTTGTGACCTGCACTGGATGTGCCATGTTTGTCTTTCTTCCACAGGACAGAAGTGACTTTGTCTGTACAAAGTGCAAGCTGGTCTCCATATTGGAAGAGAAGATTGAAGGTCTGGAGCAACAGATAACGACCCTGCGTTGCATACGAGAATTTGAGGTTTTTCTGGACAAAAGTCAGGATATGCTTCTACAGGCACAAAGCTCTAAAGATTTAGAGCAGGTTGCACAGTGGAGCCAAGAGGCCAGTGAAGAAGCTTGGCAACATGTGACCTCCAGAAGAAGAAGGGGGAATGTCCGGGTTCCAGCAACGCAGACACAGGTAACTAACCGCTTTCATGTTCTCTCCACAGGTACCATTGCGGAGAGTGGACCAGATGATATGTCTGGGGGGAGAAAGCAGAAGGAGACTCCGCTGGTTGGAAGGCATGAGATGCACTGTCCTGAGATTGGGGGTTCCACGACCACCACTCCCAAGAGGAGGAGGCGGGTGGTGGTGGTCGGGGACTCTCTCCTCCGGGGGACTGAGTCCTTTATCTGCCGCCCTGACCGGGAAAACCGAGAAGTCTGCTGCTTGCCAGGGGCTAAGATTCGCGATGTGACGGAGAGACTGCCAAGACTCATCAAGCCCTCAGATCGCTACCCCTTCCTGCTTCTCCACGTGGGCACCAATGATACTGCCAAGAATGACCTTGAGCGGATCACTGCGGACTACGTGGCTCTGGGAAGAAGGATAAAGGAGTTTGAGGCGCAAGTGGTGTTCTCGTCCGTCCTCCCCGTGGAAGGAAAAGGCCTGGGTAGGGACTGTCGAATCGTGGAAGTCAACGAATGGCTATGCAGGTGGTGTCGGAGAGAAGGCTTTGGATTCTTTGACCATGGGATGGTGTTCCATGAAGGAGGAGTGCTGGGCAGAGACGGGCTCCATCTTACGAAGAGAGGGAAGAGCATCTTTGCGAGCAGGCTGGCTAACCTAGTGAGGAGGGCTTTAAACTAGGTTCACCGGGGGAAGGAGACCTGAGGTAAGTGGGAAAGCGGGATACCGGGAGGAAGCACAGGCAGGAACGTCTGTGAGGGGAGGGCTCCTGCCTCATACTGAGAATGAGGGGCGATCAGCAGGTTATCTCAAGTGCTTATATACGAATGCACAAAGCCTTGGAAACAAGCAGGGAGAACTGGAGGTCCTGGTGATGTCAAGGAATTATGACGTGATTGGAATAACAGAGACTTGGTGGGATAACTCACATGTCTGGAGTACTGTCATGGATGGATATAAGCTGTTCAGGAAGGACAGGCAGGGCAGAAAAGGTGGGGGAGTAGCACTGTATGTAAGGGAGCAGTATGACTGCTCAGAGCTCCGGTACGAAACTGCAGAAAAACCTGAGTGTCTCTGGATTAAGTTTAGAAGTGTGAGCAACAAGAGTGATGTAGTGGTGGGAGTCTGCTATGGACCACCGGACCAAGGGGATGAGGTGGATGAGGCTTTCTTCTGGCAACTCACAGAAGCTACTAGATCGCACGCCCTGGTTCTCATGGGTGACTTTAATCTTCCTGATATCTGCTGGGAGAGCAATACAGCGGTGCATAGACAATCCAGGAAGTTTTTGGAAAGCATAGGGGACAATTTTCTGGTGCAAGTGCTAGAGGGACTAGCACTTGGGGGAGCTTTTCTTGACCTGCTGCTCACAAACCAGGAAGAATTAGTGGGGGAAGCAAAAGTGGATGGGAATCTGGGAGGCAGTGACCATGAGTTGGTTGAGTTCAGGATCCTGACAGAGGGAAGAAAGGTAAGCAGCAGGATACGGACCCTGGACTTCAGGAAAGCAGACTTTGACTCCCTCAGGGAATGGATGGCTAGGATCCCCTGGGGGACTAACATGAAGGGGAAAGGAGTCCAGGAGAGCTGTCTGTATTTCAAGGAATCCCTGTTAAGGTTACAGGGACAAACCATCCCGATGAGTCAAAAGAATAGTAAATATGGCAGGCGACCAGCTTGGCTTAACGGTGAAATCCTAGCGGATCTTAAACATAAAAAAGAAGCTTACAAGAAGTGGAAGGTTGGACATATGACCAGGGAAGAGTATAAAAATATTGTTCGGGCATGTAGGAATGAAATCAGGAGGGCCAAATCGCACCTGGAGCTGCAGCTAGCAAGAGATGTCAAGAATAACAAGAAGGGTTTGTTCAGTATGTTGGCAACAAGAAGAAAGCCAAGGAAAGTGTGGGCCCCTTACTGAATGAGGGAGGAAACCTAGTGACAGAGGATGTGGAAAAAGCTAATGTACTCAATGCTTTTTTTGCCTCTGTCTTCACGAACAAGGTCAGCTCCCAGACTGCTGCCCTGGGCATCATAGCATGGGGAGGAGGTGGCCAGCCCTCTGTGAAGAAAGAAGTGATTTGGGACTATTTAGAAAAGCTGGACGTGCACAAGTCCATGGGGCCGGACGAGTTGCATCCGAGAGTGCTAAAGGAATTGGCGGCTGTGATTGCAGAGCCATTGGCCATTATCTTTGAAAACTCGTGGCGAACGGAGGAAGTCCCAGATGACTGGAAAAAGGCTAATGTAGTGCCAATCTTTAAAAAAGGGAAGAAGGAGGATCCTGGGAACTACAGGCCAGTCAGCCTCACCTCAGTTCCCGGAAAAATCATGGAGCAGGTCCTCAAAGAATCAATCCAGAAGCACTTACATGAGAGGAAAGTGATCAGGAACAGTCAGCATTAAGCTTCAGCTATAACACCTGCATTGATAAGGAAGGCAGCCTCACAATTTTCCCTCATTCTATGGACCCTTGGCTGCTTGGGCATTTCTCTGTTCTGTTTACTCAGTCGCTAATTACTGACCACCATCATCTCCCTGTGCAACAGTGATAATATTGCCATGTATTCTTCGAGAGATGTCCTTGTGGGTGCTCCACTCCACGTGTTGGTGCGTCCCTGTGCCTTCGCTCAGAGATTTTTACAGCAGTACTCATACTGGTCATGCATGCGCAGAGCCTGCCCCCCGGCTCTGGGTGTACCTTAATAGTATGTGTGTGCGACCGGTCTCCTCAGTTCCTTCTCTACCATCCTGGCCTGAGAAGGAGCTCAACAGACTCGTTAGATAATTTCTTCTCTCCCTTGTTCAACTTGTTTTCCCTCTTAGTTTAGCTTACCAGCAATAGTTAGGTACCCTTTTCCCTTCTCTTCCCTTTTAAAAAACAAACAAACAAAAATAAAACATTTTTGTTCCTGTCAGCGCAGCTGCTTCCGACATGCCTGGCTCTCCAGGTTCTAAGTGCTGCTCTAACTGTAATGATGCCATCCCTCTTTCAGATGTATTCTAAATGTATTAAATGTTTGGGGGAGTCCCACATCCCCCCAAAATGTGCCCACTGCAGCAAGTCAAAATCTAGGGCATGCAAAGACAGGGAGCTACAGCTAAAACTGCTCCTGCTGCAAAAATCTCTCGGACTCTGCTGTACGCCGCAGCCCCCCTGCTTCAAAGAGACAAAAGAAAACTTAAAAAAAATCAGTCTCTCTCACCCACAAACGGTATTCTCAGGGACAAGCCTTCTCCAGGTATTGCTTCTCTCCCTGCGCTCCCCTGGCTGAGTACCTTTGATGCACCGGGCTCCTCCGACGCCACGCGAAACCCGCCTGTGACCGTTGCGGTCACACTAACCTCCGGTGCTGAGGCTTCAGGCTTTCAGTTGCCTGCCTCTCACACGGCACCATTCGGCACCGCAGTGAAAGTGGTGCTAATGCATACCAGCCTGCCTGACCCCCCACAGGCTCCTCTCACTCTCCCGGCACCGTCAGCCTTTGAACTAGCCGGAAGTGACAGAACACTTGGGACACAGGTGCAGAGGAATCCCTCCTCACAACAAATTCCTCTCGCTCAGCCCTCCCCTCACAGAGGCACTGCGGCACCACAATTCACGCACTCAAGGGACCTCCTGGTGTCACCTATCTTGCAATCACACCTGCTTCTCTCCAGCAAGGTCTGCACAGCTTTCCTCCAGTGATGGAGAATCTGGGCTGCAGAGAAAATTTTCACCTTACCAGATCTCCCGTCCACAGACCCCAGTCAAGAGTGGTCATAGAAAAGTGCCTCATCCTACTTCCAGGGTCCTGCCCCATGATGCGTGAACCCCTGGATGGCATCACCCATACCCTTCCCACCACAGTGGCAATATTGGGCTCCATGGGCTCCTTATACTCAGGACCACACTCATTATACCAATGCAGCCAGGTGTGAGACCTGCTCAGTACCACCAGCTGACGACCCTGCCACTGACTCCAGACACCAGACAGCCCTGTCACTACCGCAAGAGCAAGCACGGCCTGCCTCTAACCCGGTAGAACCAGTTGTTCCGCCTGATGAAGCATTGCTTCCTCCTCCTCCGACGTCTTCGCACGACTTCTCAAAATTTCAAGACTTGTTTAAAAGAGCTGCCAATGAGCTATGAATTAACCTGGAGGAAGTTCCTGAACAGCAGCATGAGCTAACTGACATTCTGCAGCCCTCTTCTTCTAGAATTGCATTACCTATCAATGCAGCCCTTTTAGAATCTGCCAAGGCCGTTTGGCAAACCCCGGCTGCAAGCCTGCCTTCCTGTAAGAGAGCGGATCGAAAGCACTTCATTCCTTCCAAGGGCTCAGAATTCCTTTTTACTCACCCAGCGCCAAACTCGCTGGTAGTAGATGCAGTTAACCGAAAGAACAAACAGCAATTTCCCCGATCCACCCCTTCCGACAAGGATAGTAAGCGATTAGATCTGCTCGGACGTAAGTTATACGCTGCTTCCACATTGCAGTTTCGCATTGCTAATTATTCAGCCATTCTAGCAAAGTGCAACCACAAAAATTACAATAAATTCATGGACTTTATTGATCACATTCCAGAAGAAAAGAAACAACAATTTACAGCCATAGTTTCTGAGGGACAAATCATCTCCCACACTGCTCTTCAAGCTGCCCTTGATGTGGCAAATACTGTGGCACGGTCCACTGCCACAGCAGTCGTGATGCGCCGAGGGTCATGGCTCTCGTCCTCTTCCTTTCCCTGGGAGGTCCAGAGTACCACTGAGGATCTCCCCTTCGACGGTGACAAACTATTCGCCTCCACCACAAATGATGTACTCCACTCCATGAAGGACTCCAGAGCAACTCTCCAGTCTCTAGGAATTCAAATCCCTATGACCAGAAGACGACAATATAGCTATCAGCCTTACCAGCGACCACACTACCCCACATACACCCAGCAATTCCATAGATCTCACGAGCAACAGCGACAATAGCAACACCGCTGTCCCAACTCCTCAGCAGTGTCTCAACCCCCTCTGACCAATAAGCAAATTTGAAGCCTTGGTCGAGGGTATAGAAAACAATATTCCCACTTCAGCGCTTACACCCCTGCCCCTATTTTTGGTCACTGCCTATGCCCATTCTCCCATCAATGGTGCAATATTACCACTGACAAGTGGGCTTTAGAGGTCATCACAGTTGACTATTCTATCCCTTTCCTCTCCCAGCCTCCCACCCACCCACCCTCCTCGTCCCTCTTCAGGGACCCCTCTCACAAGCAACTGCTCCTCCAGGCTGTACAACATCTCCCTCAATTGGGGGCAGTGGAAATCATGCTTGAACAACACAGGTGGAAATGTTTCTACTCCCATTACTTCTTAACAGAAAAGAAAACCAGGGGATGGCAACAAACAAATTTATCAAAAAGCAAAAGTTCAAAATGGTTACCCTCACCACCATAATCCCAGCGCTGGAGCAGGGTGATTGTTGTTCAGCCCTCAACCTACAGGGTGCTTATTTTCATGTTACTATTCACCCAGCCCACAGATGTTGTCTTCGTTTTACATTCGGTTCGACACATTTTCAGTGCAGAGTGTTGCCCTTTGGCCTATCTACCGCCCCCCAAGTTTTCTCCAAACTCCTAGCCGTGGTTACTGCCCACCTCAGGAAACAGGGGGTTATAATATTTCCCTACCTCGACAATTGTCTCCTCAAAGCCTCAACACTTGATGAAGCTCTTCGATCCACGTAGCTTACCATCGCATGCTTTCTTTGCCTTGGCCTGCAAATAAACAAAAACAAATCCACCTTATCTCTACCCAACAACTGGAGTTCATGGGCGCACACCTTGATTCCCGAACAGGAATAGCATCTCTCCTGCTCGATCGTTTCAACACCATAAAACTCCTGGTTACAACAGTCCCCAGATCACTGCACGAGACTGCCTGCAAGTATTAGGCCACATGGCCTCGTGTACTTTCGTGGTCAAAAATGCACGCCTATACAAGAGGTGCTTCCAAGCTTGGTTGGCCACATTTTACAGATGGAACATACGCACTCTAACCAAGCCTCTATCCATAGCAATCAGAGTCAAAGACTCCCTCCGATGGTGGACAGTTCCCTCCAGCCTCTGTTCAGGAGTCCCTTTTCTCCAGGATTCCCCATCACTCATAATGACTACCGATGCATCCCTCACGGGATGGGGAGCGCACATGTCCCACCACACAGCCCAGGAGCTATGGTCTTCCACTGAAGCCTCCCTACACATAAACGTCCTAGAACTGCGAGCCGTACGCAATACCTGCCGTCACTTCCTCCCATTTATCA